AATGTGGCAGATGTTGCAGGTGTATGGTGTAGGAGGTAGGTTACTGAAAGCAGTGAAGAGTTTTTACGAGGATAGTGAGGCTCAAGTTAGAGTATGTAGGAAAGAGGGAAATTATTTCCCAGTAAAAGTAGGCCTTAGACAAGGATGTGTGATGTCACCGTGGTTGTTTAATATATTTATAGATGGGTTTGTAAGAGAAGTAAATGCGAGGGTCTTGGCAAGAGGTGTGGAGTTAAAAGATAAAGAATCACACAAAGTGGGAGTTGTCACAGTTGCTCTTTGCTGATGACACTGTGCTCTTGGGAGATTCTGAAGAGAAGTTGCAGAGATTGGTGGATGAATTTGGTAGGGTATGCAAAAGAAGAAAATTAAAAGTGAATACAGGAAAGAGTAAGGTTATGAGGATAACAAAAAGATTAGGTGATGAAAGATTGGATATCAGATTGGAGGGAGAGAGTATGGAGGTGAATGTATTCAGATATTTGGGAGTGGACGTGTCAGCGGATGGGTCTATGAAAGATGAGGTGAATCATAGAATTGATGAGGGGAAAAGGGTGAGTGGTGCACTTAGGAGTCTGTGGAGACAAAAAACTTTGTCCTTGGAGGCAAAGAGGGGAATGTATGAGAGTATAGTTTTACCAACGCTCTTATATGGGTGTGAAGCATGGGTGATGAATGTTGCAGAGAGGAGAAGGCTGGAGGCAGCAGAGATGTCATGTCTGAGGGCAATGGGTGGTGTGAATATAATGCAGAGAATTCGTAGTTTGGAAGTTAGGAGGAGGTGTGGGATTACCAAAACTGTTGTCCAGAGGGCTGAGGAAGGGTTGTTGAGGTGGTTCGGACATGTAGAGAGAATGGAGCGAAACAGAATGACTTCAAGAGTGTATCAGCCTGTAGTGGAAGGAAGGTGGGGTAGGGGTCAGCCTAGGAAAGGTTGGAGGGAGGGGGTAAAGGAGGTTTTGTGTGCGAGGGGCTTGGACTTCCAGCAGGCATGCGTGAGCGTGTTTGATAGGAGCGAATGGAGACAAATGGTTTTTAATACTTGACATGCTGTTGGAGTGTGAGCAAAGTAACATTTATGAAGGGGTTCAGGGAAACCGGCAGGCCGGACTTGAGTCCTGGAGATGGGAAGTACAGTGCCTGCACTCTGAAGGAGGGGTGTTAATGTTGCAGTTTAAAAACTGTAGTGTAAAGCACCCTTCTGGCAAGACAGTGATGAAGTGAATGATGGTGACCGTTTTTCTTTTTCAGGCCACCCTGCCTTGGTGGGAATCGGCCAGTGTGAAAATAAAATAAAATAAAAAAAAGAAAATAATAATAATAAGAAAATTCTCTTCCCTTTATATAAAGGAATTATACATGCTCTCTGTCAATCCCTAGGCACCTTCCCCTCTTTCATACATTTATTAAAGAAAAATACCAACCACTCCAACACTATATCTCCCCCTGCTTTTAACATTTCTGTCATGATCCCATCAGTTTCAGTTGCCTTACCCCCTTTCACTCTACGTAATGCCTCATACACCTCCCCCACACTCACATCACTCATTCACTCCTAAAAGATGTTATACCTCCCTGGCCAGTGAATGAAATTACTGCCTCCCTTTTTTCATAAACATTTATAAGTCCCTCAAAATATTCCTGCCATCTACCCAATACTTCCAGCTCCCTATCTACTAACTTCCTTACTCTGTTTTAAACCGACAAATCCATTTGTTCCCTAGGCTTTCTTAATTTGTTTATCTTGCTCCAAAATTTTTTCTTATTCCCAGCAAAATTTTTTAACTGATTATCCCACTCATTTGCTATCCTTTTGCATTCTCTTCACTTTTCTTTTATGCTCCATATACTCTGCCCTTCTCATATCACTTCTGCTTTGTAAAAACCACTCATAAGCTACCGTTTTCATTTTATTGCACCCTTTACCTCATCATTCCACTAATCACTCCTTTTTCCTCCTGCACCCACCCTCCTATAGCCACAAACTTCTGCCCCACATTCTAATACTGCATTTTTATACCTATCCCATCCCTCTTCAACCTCCCCCACTACCCATACTTGCACTAGCCCACATTTTTACCAAAAGTTGCTAATATCTCACCCTAACTTCCTCCTCCCTTAGTTTATAAACTTTCACCTCTCTCTTACTTACTGTTGCCATTTTCCTTTTGTCCCATCTACTTCTTACTCAAACTGTATCTACAACTAAATAATGATCCAATATATCCATTGCTCCTCTATAAACATATACACCGATCAACCTTTTATTCACCAATACAGTGGACCCCAGGTTAACGCCTGGATCTGATAGCGCCAAAATCGGATAACGCCTCGCTTTGGCGTAAAAAAATTGGCTCGGATAACACCTAAAAACTCAGAAGCTTTGTTCCGAACGTGTCTGCTGGGAGCCGTGAGCGGGCCCGGCCAGTCACCCAGTCTACTAGCCAGTGTGCCAATGTTTACAAAGCCAGCAAGGATGATTCTACGTGTGCATGCAATATATTTTGTATTATTCCATTGTTTCTGGTGCTTATAACTGCTAAATAAGCCACCATGGGCCCCAAGAAAGCCTCTAGTGTCAGCCCTATGGTAAAGAATGTGAGAAACACATAATTTAAGAAAAAGTTTGTAGAAAAATACGAAAGTGGTGGTGGTCGTGTGTGGTAGTGATGGTGGTAGAGGGTGGTAGTGATGGTGGTAGAGGGTGGTAGTGATGGTGGTAGTGATGATGGTAGTAAAGGGTGGTAGTGATGGTGGTAGTAAAGGGTGGTAGTGATGGTGGTAGTGATGGTGGTAGTAGAGGTGGTAGTAGAGGGTGGTAGTAGAGGGTGGTAGTAGAGGGTGGTAGTAGAGGGTGGTAGTAGAGGTGGTAGTAGAGGTGGTAGTAGAGGGTGGTAGTAGAGGGTGGTAGTAGAGGGTGGTAGTAGAGGGTGGTAGTGAGGGTGGTAGTGAGGGTGAGTGAGGTGGTATGAGGGGGGTAGTGAGTGGTAGTGAGGGTGGTAGTAGGTTAGTGAGGGTGGTAGTGAGGGTGGTAGTGAGGGTGGTAGTGAGGGTGATGAGGGTGGTATGAGGTGTGGGTAGTGGGGGTGGTAGTGAGGGTGGTAGTGAGTGGTAGTGAGGGTGGTAGGGGTGGTAGTGAGGGTGAGTGAGGGTGGTAGTGAGGGTGGTAGTGAGGGTGGTAGTGAGGGTGGTAGTGAGGGGGGTAGTAGGGTGGTGTGGGGGGTTGATGGTAGTAAGGGTGGTAGTAGAGGGTGGTAGTAGAGGGTGGTAGTGATGGTGGTAGTGGTTGTTATTGTGGTATGGTATGTTAAGGCATGGTGAGGCTGCCAGTTCTGACAAAAAAGTAGCTGAAAAATATGTGCAGGACTTAAGGGGTACATAGAGGCTGAAAAATTAAAACCTCAAAAGTGTTCAGTTGTGACAAAACAGGCCTGTTTAGGAAAAAATGCCAAACAGGACCTACATTACTCAGGTGGAAAAGGCACTCCCAGGACACAAGCCAGAAAAGGACTTGTTATCTGAAGTCTTTATGGAAGGGGATTCCCCTTCCAAACAATAGAACACCTTCATCCTCTGCCCTCCTCCAGTCTCATCACTCATCAACAAGTCCACAATAAAAGTGTGATATTATTGTTTTATTCGTCATGTATCATTGTTTTCTGTGTAGGGAAATGTATATTTCATGTAAAAAAATGATTCTGTTTAATCCTTTTGGGTATATGGAACGGATTAATTGGATTTCCATTATTTCTTATGGGGAAAATTAATTCGGATAAAGGCTAGCTCTCTGGAACGGATTAAAGGCGTTAACCAAGGGTCCACTATACATAATCTAACAAACTACTTTCATTACATGCTATATCATTTCTTGTATACTTATTTATCCTTCTTTTCATTAAATACTTATTACCAAACCTCTTTCTACACATAGTTCAATTAATGGCTCCCCATTTTCATTTACCCCTGGCACCCCAAATTTACCTACAACATTTTTACCCGCTTCAGCATTGAGATCCCCAACCACAAGTACTCTCTCACATGGTTCAAAACTCCCCACACACTCAACATTTCCCAAAATCAATCAATCAATCAATGTATCTCTCTCTCTCTTTCTCCAGGCACATAAACATTTACTACAATCCACTTTACACATCCAACCCTTATTTTATTCCACAATCCTTGAATTTATATTTCTTCTTTTCCTGCCATAAATTACCCTTCAACATTATTGCTACTCCTTCCTTAGTTCTAACTATTAGAAACCCCTGACATAATCCCATTTATTTCTCCTCACTGAAACTCTCCTACCCCCTTCAGTTCTGTTTCACTTAGAGCCAGAACAGCCAGCTTCTTTTCATTCATAGCATCCACAATCATCTCTTTCTTATCATTCACACTACAATCACGCACATTCCAACATCCCACTTTGACGGTACTCTTCTTTTTCTTTTTAGCAGGCTATATGGGAAAAGAGGTTACTAGCCTATTGCTCCTGGCATTTTAGTTGACTTTTACAACATGCATGACTTACAGAGGAAAGATTCGTACTCTGCTTCCCCATGGATGTGAAAAGCAAAGTAATAAGAACAAGAACTATTTAAGATAAAATCAAAGAAAACCCAGCTGAGTGTGTATAAATAAACGAGTAGATGCTTGTGTAGTGTGACCTAGGTTTAAGTAGTAGTAGCAAGATGTACCCGAAATCTTGCATGTTTATAAGACAGAAAAAAAGACATCAGCAATCCTACCATCATGTAAAACAAATACAGGCTTCCATTTTACACTCACTTCGCAGTATGGTAGGAGATTACCAGTGTTAAAAAAAGAATCAGCCATTTCCTATGGAGATGACTAAAAAAAACATTCACCATCATTCATTAAATAGCTGTCTTGCCAGATGTGCAATTTCATAATTTATATTTTAAACACAGTTAAATATAAAAGACAAAAGCTAACTAAATCAATCGTCTGCTTGGATGAAACATATATTATAATCTTACTTTCTGTAGGGCCAACAAGCTTTATGGAATTTTGGCATAAGTTTTGCCTTGCTCTCTGAGTCGCACAGCATCACTATAGTGCGGCAGCCAGGCTTCAACATACGAACAAGACCATTGTACGTCTCTCCTCGCAATTCATGTACACGAAGTTGTGGCTGGGGTGTTACTTTTCCATTGTGGTCGATGAATGTAGATGCTGAGTTACCTACTCGCTCCTCTTCTAGTTTTCTGCAAAGAGAAATTAACAATTAAAAAGTGTCCCATGGCTCAGTTGATAGTGCACTCAGCTCATATACCGAGTGTCTGAGGGTCAATCCCCGGTACAAGTGGAAATACTGGGCATGTTTCCTTACACCTGCTGCCCCTGTTCACTTAGCAGTAAGTAGGTACCTGGGTGTTTGCCAACTGGTGTGGGTGGCATTCTGGGGGGTATACCTTAGATAGGGTTAGGCTTTGAAATGAGCTGAGGTAGGATAATAGATCTTAGCCTGTAAAACTGATGTGAAAAAATGAAAAGGTATCACCTAATTCAATTAATGTGATATACTAGAGAAATTCCAGTGCTACCAAGGGTTAACTAAAATTAGGTGTTTCTTTCCTGACTTTCTACTTATGACACTAGAGTAACTTGGACTTCATTAAATATTTCACAATGTACAATATCACTGTTGCAGGTTGTCTTGTTGACTGTCTTTTTTTCCACTACAACAACTTTCCAACTTGTATATGAACCTAATTAAAAGCCCTCAGACTTTCCTGTCTTGTTACTGAGATAATATCTACTTTACTTATTTCACACTCAGATTATCAGGCAGATTTTCAGAAATATTTTAATTACTGATGCTTTCACCTGAAGATATTACTCACCCTCACACTTTCACCAGCATGCACGTGCACATGTGCACGCACACAAATACACACACTATTAATTTCTTGTACAATATTCTCCAAGAATGATCTTGTGCTCTTTGTTCCTTGTAAAAGCATTTTTAAATTTGTTATTTTTTATGTACAAGTAATATTCTTTTTATGTCATGGTCTGCCATAGGACTGTCAGCTACAAACCTTCATGTGCTCTAAGACACAACTGTCTTGCTGTCCCTCATCACATGCCCAATACATTAAATGGGTCATCGTATGACAAAGACCTGTGCCAGGAAACTTCCTAACAAATAAACCAGCATCATTCATGTCCCATCATGCAAGAGGCTGAGCACTTTGAACACTAACTGCACATGTTCTGACTCATTATTTACTCCATACAGTACAGACGAGCCCTGTTCATACAGCAATTTAGGTTCTTGACTACTGCTGTAAAGTGAAATGTAGTCTTCTTTTGACTTTTAAATGCATATAAAAGCCAGATAGCGTAAATATGTTATCATATATTAAATGAGCAATAGTGATTGGTAAATATATCATTGTTGGAAGTCTGAATACATGAAGAACGAGCATAACTGAAAACTGCTGTATTAGCAAAATGCTGTAAAGTGAAGCACTGTAAAGTGGGGCTCTCATGGATGTGCAATTCTGACAAGTATCAGTCAGTCTTACTATTACTTTTATTTTTTTTTTTTACCTCCAGCAGAGTGAACAGGTTCAGAAAAGAGCTAAAATATTAAGTGCATATTGAAGAATAAGACACTTGTGCAACACCTGGGTATCTTTATTTGTAGACGTTTCACCATCCACTGGCTTTATCAATACATACATACATGGACATAACGCTCTTATATGGGTGTGAAGCATGGGTGATGAATGTTGCAGCGAGGAGAAGGCTGGAGGCAGTGGAGATGTCATGTCTGAGAGCAATGTGTGGTGTGAATATAATGCAGAGAATTCGTAGTTTGGAAGTTAGGAGGAGGTACGGGATTACCAAAACTGTTGTCCAGAGGGCTGAGGAAGGGTTGTTGAGGTGGTTCGGACATGTGGAGAGAATGGAGCGAAACAGAATAACTTCAAGAGTGTATCAGTCTGTAGTGGAAGGAAGGCGGGGTAGGGGTCGGCCTAGGAAAGGTTGGAGGGAGGGGGTAAATGAGGTTTTGTGTGCGAGGGGCTTGGACTTCCAGCAGGCATGCGTGAGCGTGTTGATAGGAGTGAATGGAGACAAATGTTTTTTAATACTTGACGTGCTGTTGGAGTGTGAGCAAAGTAACATTTATGAAGGGGTTCAGGGAAACCGGCAGGCCGGACTTGAGTCCTGGAGATGGGAAGTACAGTGCCTGCACTCTGAAGGAGGGGTGTTAATGTTGCAGTTTAAAAACTGTAGTATAAAGCACCCTTCTGGCAAGACAGTGATGGAGTGAATGATGGTGAAAGTTTTTCTTTTTCGGGCCACCCTGTCTTGGTGGGAATCGGCCAGTGTGATAATAATAATAAAAAATGGACATATGGAAATTGCAGAAATATATACAATTTTCATATTATATCCATGTATGTATTGATAAAGTCATTGGATGGTAAAATGTCTACAAGAAACCCAGATGTTGTACAAGTATCTTCAGTCTTCATGTTGTCGGTGTTGAATACCATTAATACACAAGTACATGTATACCCAGTGCCTCATACATTTCTAGCTTTAATATTAATCTTAATCCATATTTTCATATTTCTTAGTGATTAACAGTAATTCTCATTTACTTAGCCACATAAGGTGCTAAATCAGGTATTAAGGTGTTATACTATTTTCTTTATTTTTTATATTCAGTAGCTCCTTTATTTTCAGCTTTAAAATAATTATCTTAGTCATTCCTCACCTTGACTACCTCGCATTGTATTAAGATTAATTAAAGATTTTAATAAAAGTTATACCACTCATTATCTTGTCTGATGATAAGTCATGTTATAAATGTACTAGAAGATGTTGCAAAATCCCGTCATGATGTCGGTTTGTTTATACCTTAAAACCAAACTGTATTCACCTGTCCTTACATATAGCTAATATAATCTTTTCATTTTTACATTTTTTAGTGTTCATAATTTCATTTGACTTACCACATAAGGAATGAAACCCAAGCATATAATGAATGCAAATGTCATCGGGTAGCTCCATGCAAATCAATCATCTTGAGTCACATTCCTCCCTGTAATTAATTAAGATAATTAAAGTTTAATAAGTAAACACTTTTTCATCCTAGAACATATATTAGTACTAGAAGCGCCCCACACCGCATGTATACAATTTTGTTTATACACATACAAAACTGTATTCAACTTGATACAAAAAATAAATCACACATTTAAACAACTTATATACAAACTTACACAGAGGCCCCAACATATCCCACACACAACCCAAATGAATCCCAACATCAACCACACACACAACCCCAAAACACATCGAGTCACATTATCCCAAAAAGACCCAAATAACAGGTGCAACAAAACCCCACAACACAAGACCCACAAGCAACACACACACACATTACACGTTTAACAAAACCCACATCAGACAAAAAAAACCACCACACCCACACACACACACACAAACCACACACACAACACACACACAACCACACACAAAACCACACACACAACCACACACACAACCACACACACAACCCACACACACACAACCACACACGTACGTACTCATATACAACAGGCCTAGTGTCTAATCGACATGTGCCTAGGACAAAATGGTAACTAACACACACATACACTGCTTAGACTGCTTTCCTCTCATGATACACTAGTCTCTTAACAATACAGTACAGGTGCACCCCTGATTTTGGGCCACTTCTGGTTCCAAAGCTTTGCCAAATCACAGTTTTGCCGAACCAGTGGTCACCTTCAAGATGCTCTAACCCACTAATTATACATTTCCCATATCTTTAAAGCACCATCAACTGCTAGAACCTTAAATTAAAGAAATATTAAATGTAAATTAAAAAATTAACCCTCTGACTGTCACAGCCCCAAATCCTAAAGTCTCTGTGTCGCAAAATTTTTGAAAAAAAAAAAAAAAAAAAAAACTTATGAAATGATAGAGAATCTTTTCCCGATGTTAATGATGCCAAAAGTACAAAATTTGATGGAAAGCTTACGGAATTACGTTCTCACGAAGTTAGTGATCTCGGAGATATTTACACATCGGCAATTTCGCCCAATTTGAGCCCTATTTTCAGCCAATTTCATTGTTCCAGTTGACCAAACTCATAGCTATTTCTTCAGAACTCCATTTGTTCTATCGACTGAGTACAAGAAACCACCCATTTACTGATTTTAACTACCCAATAAAGTGGTCAGAAATTGGCAATTTGGCCAATTTCATGCAAATTAAAAAAGATACCAATTTCAAAACAGGGTCCAGAATGAACAATGCAGACATTCTTGGCACTAAAATAATATTTTCTCTGTAATAATGTTGGTAGAATTACCGACAATATGTAAAGTAAAAGGACACAAGTGTAACTAATGTGACATTTTATCGTGGCAACGTTTCGCTCTCCAGGAGCTTTGTCAAGCCGATAACTTGAACAACGATAACTTGAACAACGCCTGTGTACAACACCGAAATTCCACCAATCATCTCATGAAATTCAGGGACGGCCCAATTAGTGATCAAAGAAACTAATTTCCGCAGACACAAGTGCCTCGAATCAGCACTGATAGCTGTTTCGAATACAATTAAACAAAATAACGGCAGCTTCACCATCTCTGAAGTCTTAGCGAGAATCCTCCTGAAAACAGTAAACCCTGCCATCACATAGTCTCTCCTGTTATACTACACAAAGCACATTACAGAGTGAACACTGAAAAAGGCCTTCTCTATCCAGTCTACATTTGTCCAACCTATTTTTATGTTACCCAAGTAATAGCTTTTATATCCTTTTACTCATGTACGAATTTAAATTTTCTCTACCTTTTTGCCCCTACATATTTACCACTAGTGAACATTGAAATGGTACCCAAAGTTTCACCTCACTCTGAGCCTTTACATACCCTCTGTGTCCATATACTTTTTTGTATTGGCTTGACAAAGCCCCTGGAGAGCGAAACGTTGCCAAAAAATGACATTGTTGCCTTTTGTCTTTTACTTAAAATTTTTTTTCTCTGTTCATCAGTCACATATGCGGTCCCTCTTATATTACTTTTGTTTTCTATTTTGAATTTTTATTCCACAAAAAATAAAGTTTTTTATGTCATGAAAGACTATCCAAATTATTGCAAAATTGTATAAAAAAGTCAACCCATTTTTGACAGCTCCAAGGGCTAATTGGGACCCGGGACAAGCGTCATTTGTTT